CACCGACAGGCACAACACAGTACAAGGCAGCACAAGCAGCACAAGTGACAGCATCAGCGTGCGCTACCACACCCCGCCAATGCAGTACGAACAGCCCAATGCATGGTCACACGGAATTAGACCGCGCTGCCGGAAAAGACGTGTGTGGGAGCGCGTGCCTTCTGATGACGTAAACGGAGACAGCTAGGGATGTCTTCCCATAGCGCTACAAATCATCTTCAGTCGTTTTGACGGACTGGGTAGGCCGTGTTTAGTCCCGCACATGAGAACCAGTTCACACGTGTCGGGGAGGATCCAGCGAGGGGGGGTTCGGTATGGCCGCTCACGCCGGGCGGGCTGTGCCGTGCCCATCGTCGGTGGCCGACCCCCTGGTGTCGTGCCCCCATCCCGCTCGCTGCACGCCTCGTGGGCCGGCGCCGAGCCGGCGCCGAGCGTGCGTGCGTGCGTGCGTGACGTGCGTACGTGCGTACGTACGTGCAAGCGTACGTACGTGCAAGCGTGCGTACGTGCAAGCGTGCGCGCGTGCAAGCGCGCGTGCAAGCGTGCGTGCAAGCGTGCGTGCGTGCGTACGATGGCCGAGCCGCGAGGGGACACGACGCGGCAGTCGCTGGGTCCGCGCCAGCGCCTGCACGGCCAACAGAGGGCGGCGGGCGGCGCGTGACACCCCACGGCGGCGCAGGCAGCACGACCAGGCCAGTACGACAGCGACAGCACGCTGGTTGAGTGCCGTTCCCGGCCGGCTCCCGGCCGGTGCAGTCACAACCCATCCCGCCAGTTTGACGATGCGACGCAAAGCCTCAGAGCCACTCGGAGCACCACACCGCTAGCGCGTGGTGTCTCCGCCGGTTTTCTCCGCAGGTCTAGCCGACCCGCCACGGTCCACGTAGTTGCAGCAGTTGCCGTGCCGCACGGCGGCCGGCCGCCTCGTGCGCCGTCGGCCGCCCCGTCGGCCCGACCGGCACACTGCCACCCGTTATGCTTGCGTGCATACGGCGTGCGTGTGTGCGGGCGCGGGCGTGCGTGTTCTGCGTATGCGCTTGTGTTGTGGTCCGCTGGTTTCAGTGCACATTCCACAATTTTTACTTTCCGAGACTGGTGGGAAGCGAAGATCAAGTACACAAACCATTATGCAGATCTTGATGACTTGGCTCGTTATAACCTGGCGGTCAAGCACTAGTAGGCACAAGACGGAGAGTGGAGGCTCTATGGCCGGCTCGGCCGCTACTTGAAAGTATTTCACCATAACCTAGATCTCACAACGCCCATGGAATAAATTTGGAAAGCTGCTCCAAGATGACGCAGCATCGGCCGTGCCCATGGCTGCACGTTTCTGTCGATGTTTTCATCGATCCGTGCAACGGGATATCAAGCACGGACCAAAACGAGATGGAACACGCTCGGCCGAACCCGCACTTCACCTGGTCGAGCGTGACACACTGACAAGTGTCACAGTGTCACGCGACACGGCACCTTGACACCCGTCCAGCGGGAATCATCACCGTCGGTCCACTGGTGACTGGCCCGGAAACCCAGCTTGAAGCACCGGCGGCCGTGCCGCGGCACAGTGGTTAACATCTTTCGGCGCAAACCGCTCTTTGGACTGGAACTGCCCTACTGGACTGGTGAAGTCAGGGTCCTCACAGCTATGCTTCGAAATGACTCCGATTCCAAGGTACGGTGACACTATATTATACAAATGTAGCCGAATTGCCATGACGGGATTAGGGAAAAAGAGTCTAAATTGACACACGGTAGCATAGGCCACAAATACTTCTCGACACATAAAAATGCCTTCTGGTCACACCAGCAAAGTGAAAACATAGCTACACAAAACAGAGCCACCGCAATTATCCGCTTGAACTCCAGCAGAGATGCATCTTATTTTGTTGCCGTTGTTTTTACCGGGTTTACAGATACCGTCGTAAGAAAAACCGCCCGTACGGTTATAACCACGTGACGCGACACGTAACCGTGTGGGTAGCACTGCTGAGCATGGTTGGGTGGACCAAGTCTCTTTACACGCGACCCCGCCGGAGCGCTGCTCACCATGGTTTCGCCAGGAGGAGCGGTTGTTGAGTTCCGTGATGGTCACGTACATGGGTGCCAGGAGCGGTCGGACCGGCCCGTTCCGCTCGCGTATACTCATCGTCAGACGCAGCTTGGCCGGCCACGAGATCTGCGGCACCTGGCGACGATACTGGCACTGACACGGCTGACACCGCCCGGTCCTATACAGCAGCGGCACCTGGGACGACTGGCACTGACGGCTGACACCGCCCGGTGGGGTAGAGCATTGACATGACGGCTGTCGCCGCTCGATCCTATACAGCACTGACACTGACGGCTGTCACCGCTCGGTCCGATACAGCAGCGGCACCTGACGACGACACTGACATTGACACGGCTGACACCACTCGGTTCGATACAGCAGCGGCCTGACAAGGCTGACACCGCTTGGTCCGACATAGCAGCGGCACCTGACAACACTGACACTGACACAGCTGGCACCGCTCGGTCCAACACATTCACGGACGGAATAGGACGGCTAGCGTAGGTCGAGACAATCATGGTGATAATTTAGGTGTGCGCATGTCGCGACCACTACAATGTGAAGCAGTCATACACTCATGCAACACACCGGTGGGTCTTCGCAACTCTTAGGGAAACGCTTCCTACCGATACTTGCCCCAGCAGGTATTGAATTGCCCCAGCAGGTATTGAAAGCAAGGGTTCGGACGGCTTACATCTATTTTTCCCCTCTCCGGTTATTATTATGGACTTTCACTTCTGGCGCAGGCCAAACTGGCGGTCGGGTCCACACATGAAGCTGTTCCTCCAAAGGCTACGGGACCGTGGCGTTTAATCGTACTCACAGCATGGAGAAAAAGCTTGCGCGGACTTCTACTAAAAGGAAAGTCTCGCAGCCACTGGTGAAAACACAGAAGTCCCTTCCCCGACACTGCAACCTACCGCCACCACACACGACGCCAACACGTTACTAGCAACCCAGAACTGGTTCAAACACGTCCCCAGCGTTCTTAAGTCGCCGCGCACTGCAGCAAATCCCAGCGGGGTCAGCCAATCAGAGGCGCCGTGACTGGCACATGACCCCGCCACAGACGGGCACAGCGCACGGTCCGACAGGGAACACGGCCCCGTCACACCGTGTCTGAGAGCCCAGCTGACCGGTCTGACGGCAGCTCCGCGGCCCGCTGCCGCCGGCGCCCGGCCCAGAGGCCGCCGCCACCACAGAGCGGTCCGAGTCTCAGAGGACCGGCCGGCCCAGAGGCCGCCGCCACCACAGAGCGGTCAGAGTTCAGCAGATCGGCCGGCCCAGAGGCCACCGCCACCACAGAGCGGTCCGAGTCTCAGAGGACCGGCCGGCCCAGAGGCCACCGCCACCACAGAGCGGTCCGAGTCTCAGCAGAGCGGCCGGCCCAGAGGCCACCGCCACCACAGAGCGGTCCGAGTCCGCAGAGCGGCCGGCCCAGAGGCCGCCGCCACCACAGAGCGGTCCGAGTCTCAGAGGACCGGCCGGCCCAGAGGCCGCCGCCACCACAGGGCGGTCGAGTATCAGCAGATCGGCCGGCCCAGAGGCCACCGCCACCACAGAGGTCCGAGTCTCAGAGGAACCCGGCGGCCCAGAGGCCGCCCGCCACCACAGAGCGGTCAGAGTCTCAGCAGATCGGCCGGCCCAGAGGCCACCGCCACCACAGAGCGGTCCGAGTCTCAGAGGACCGGCCCGGCCCAGAGGCCACCGCCACCACAGAGCGGTCCGAGTCTCAGCAGAGCGGCCGGCCCAGAGGCCACCGCCACCACAGAGCGGTCCGAGTCTCAGCAGAGGGCCGGCCCAGAGGCCGCCGCCACCACAGAGCGGTCAGAGTCTCAGCAGATCGGCCGGCCCAGAGGCCACCGCCACCACAGAGCGGTCCGAGTCTCAGAGGACCGGCCGGCCAGAGGCTGCCGTCACCACAGAGCGGTCGAGTCTCAGCAGAGCGGCCGGCCCAGAGGCCGCCGCCACCACAGAGCGGTCCAAGTCTCAGAGGACTGGCCGGCCCAGAGGCTGCCGTCACCACAGAGCGGTCCGAGTCTCAGCAGAGCGGCCGGCCCAGAGGCCGCCGCCACCACAGAGCGGCCAAGTCTCAGAGGACCGGCCGGCCCAGAGGCCGCCGCCACCACAGAGCGGTCCGAGTCTCAGAGGATGGCCGGCAGGAGGCCGCCGCCACCACCACTCACGTATCGGCGCGTCCGAGTCGCGGACGTCGGTGGGAGTACTCGGCGGCCGCGGTGCAGCCGCAGGCCGAGCGCCGGCCCGCCCGGCGCACGCCTTGTAGCGGCCCCGTCCTGCGGCTGACCTCGTGCACGATCAGCAGGGCTGAGAACAGCACGACGCAATCAGTGGGGTCTCGGAGGGCGGCGCAGTCGCAGGGTCCAGTGCGGGCAGGACACAATCATCGGGTCTGAGGAGGGCGATGCACTCGCAGGTCCAGTGCGGACAGGACGCAATCAGCGGGTCTGAGGAGGGCGATGCACTCGCAGGTCCAGTGCGGACAGGACGCAATCAGCGGGTCTGAGGAGGGCGATGCACTCGCAGGTCCAGTGGCGGACAGGACGCAATCAGTGGGTCTCGGAGGGCGATGCACTCGCAGGTCCAGTGCGGACAGGACGCAATCAGCGGGTCTCAGGAGGGCGGCGCAGTCGCAGGTCCAGCGCGGGCAGGACACAATCATCGGGTCTGAGGAGGGCGATGCACTCGCAGGTCCAGTGCGGACAGGACGCCAATCAGCGGGTCTGAGGAGGGCGATGCACTCGCAGGTCCAGTGCGGACAGGACGCCAATCAGAGGGTCTGAGGAGGGGGCGGCAGCAGTCGCAGGTCCAGTGCGGGTAGGACACGGTCAGAGGGTCTCAGGAGGGGCGGCGCAGTCGCAGGTCCAATGCGAGCAGGACACAATCAGAGGGTCTCGGGAGGGCGGCGCAGTCGCAGACCCAAGGAGCACACTCAGCAGATCTGAAAACAGGACAGAACGTGCAGGTCTGGGTAGATAATCAGCTGGTCTGAGGAGAGCAGGACAGAATAATGCGTCCTTGAGTAACCACATCATGATGTGTAGAATTCTCAAAATGGGCGTGCAAAGACTGCGCGCAAAATCAGCCTAAGACCACCCTGCTCCATAGGCTGGCTCGGGTCGGCGTTATAAATGTTCTCGAGGTGGGGATGTTGATCCCAAGTCTGATGGAGGCCGGTAGTTGACCTGTAACACAGCAGAACGGCGCTCCCTGAGGCGTTCCGGCTCCAGCCCAGCTCTAAAACCGCGTCCGGGCAGTACGGAGGGTTCGGTCAGACTATCCTCCCAGAAGTTCAGGAGATAGATGGAGTTCACGAAGCGTTTCGCCACCCTTTAGACTTTATTCAACCCACTGCGACCCACCCAATAAAACAGAATGCCCCGTGGCATATCGTGTCGCCCGTGCATCAAAGGATTCCAAACGACGAACAGCGAGTCGCTTGGTAGCACCGGCATAATCTTAGCGTCAGCTTTGAACACGCCTCGTGCACCAATTTCAGCACTATGTCGTGATTTTGCGGAAGCATATAGGCAACGAAACACGCTCGTCGAATCACCAGCATGGGCCCAGACCTCCATCCTGACTCCGCAGCGACAGGCCTTCGAGCGGGCCGCGCGCCGCGCGCGCCGTCGCGCAGCCACTGCATGTATCGATAGAAGCAGCCAAGATCGCCTCATCACCTGAAAACACTAGCCCTATCGGGAATGGAACCCGGCCCCCCGGCGTGGAAGCCCGACTCGGCCCCAGCCGGGCCGCGCGGCGCCGGCGCACCGGCAGTTCGATGAAGCTGCGGTCGCCGGCGTGCAAGCCTCGTAGCACGTCCCGCTCCACCTTGGGGTCGGCGCCCCGGGCCGTGTTGACGGCGATGGAGAGATTGGGCGAGGGCAGCAGGGCGAAGGTCACCAGCCGGGCCGTGCCCGTGCAGAGGGCGCTGGCGCGCGGCAGCCGGACGTCAGCGAGCAGACGCCCTCTGTTGGGGTCACAGGGAGTCACCACACACCCTCCGTCGGGGCCACGGAGTTTTAACACATCCCTCCGCCGGGGTAACAGATGTCACAAACGCCACTAGGGCGTGGCTACGGTGTTCACACGACGCCCCTCTGCCGGGGTAACGGCGGTCACAACACGCCCCTCTGTCGGGGTCACGAAGGTCACAATACACCTTCTGCCGGGCTAATGGTGATAACACGTCTGCTTGCCGAGGTAACCTAGTTTCGGGATCAGCTTTGCATGGACCTTGCGATCTTACGGATCACGAGCGAGCCCTGCTTGAACTAAGACAAAATTTAATGTCAGCGGCCCGGTCGAACCCTAAAACCTTTTAGAGGCTGACATCCTTGCAATCGTGGATTGTAGGCACATGAAATTTTCCAGAAAGAAGCCCAACTACGTAGCAGTCGCGTCGTATAAATTTTTGGATTTGTGTGCACGGATTTTACTAGGATAGTTTCCTGCTACATTGCAATCTCACTACAATTTCGCATATCCCGTGCCGCTGAAACGAAAAACCAAATTTCCACACAGCGGAAATGCCGTAAAGCACGGGTCGAAATCAGTTCAAATCTCAACTACCCGGTGTCGTGGAGGCACGAAACAAACATTTGGCCCGCAGAGAAAACGGACATTCGTAATGGCGGAAGTGTTGACGGGGGGTCTAAGTAGACGGGCAGGCATTTCGTGCCTAAACCATGAACGCTTTGGTTTTAGGACGTGTTATACATATTATTTCTTTATTTATTTATTTATTTATATAAGTAACGTACATCAAGATGCAGACAAACGAGGCAGTCGCATCCCATTATATATATATATATATATATATATATATATATTATATATATATATATATCTACATATCTATATATATATATATAATCTATATCTATATATCTATATATATATATATATATATATATATATATATATATATATATATATATCTATATATATATATCTATAGTCTATATATCTATATATATAATTATCTGTCTGTATATATATATATATATATATTTAATTAATCACAATTAATCTGTCGCAGAACGGCTTGTATTTTTTTGCCAAAACTGGTATAGAATAAAACAAAAACAACACCTGTCCTAGACGCTATCGAGTAATGAGCGATTGGGTTATGAAGATTACACAGCAATGTAGTTCTGCTTATTTTGATCATTATCTACCCCAAAATTTCCCTCTTTTAATTATTTTCAAACAAAGGCAACAATCGCAAACCACTACAAGTTGTCGGTTTTCTTTTTGGCTCTAACGTCCAGTAGGCTACTTCCGCATGCATCAAATTTTTAGCAACGCTGCTCGCAATTTTACGCGCGAATATATATCACCTCGTTAAATCCTCACGAAAGGTGGGCTTTTTAGCGCATTGCTCAGATCACTGGTATGGCTAGGCGGAGGTGAGACCCCAAACAGGCCTAGCTTTGACATCACTGCATGAGAAACGTCCCGACTCGCGTCCGCCATCACCTTCCTCGTTCCACGACTCACGTCCGTCATTGCCTTCCTCGTTCCCCCGGCTCACGTGCGCCATCGCCTTCCTCGTTCCCCAGCTCACGTCCGTCATCGCCTCCCTTGTTCCCCCGACTCACATCTGTCATCGCCTTCCTCGTTCCCCCGACTCACGTCCGCCATCGCCCCCTCGTTCCCCCGACTCACGTCCGCCATCGCCCCCTCGTTCCCCCAGCTCACGTTCGTCATCGCCTTCCTTGTTTCTCCAACTCACGTCTGTCATCGCTTCCTCGTTCCCCCGACTCACGTCCGTCATCCCCTCCCTCGCCCCCAACTCACGTCCGTCATCGCCTCCCTCGTTCCCCGACCCACGTCCGTCATCGCCTCCCTCGTTCCCGCCCCGCAAGACGTCTCTCTGGTCGTTGCGTAACATTTACTAGCGCCCGAAATCGCTGCCACTGGCTGCGGCGAGAGCCCGCCACAAACGCGGCGGGCGTCCCGCACCCGCCACTGTCCGCCACCACGGGCGCGCCCTGCCGCCGGGCGTCCGCGTCGTACCAGCGTCCAGGACTGCGGCCGCACGGTGGACGCCAGCCGCAGCGAGCCGCCGCGCACGCTGGCCGACCGCTCCACCTGCACGATGTCCGGGTTGCTGAGCTCCAGGTCGATCAGGCGGCTCGTACTCGGCCAGCGGCTCTGCCCTCGTCTGCCGACGGCCGCCGGCGCCGTCAGCTGGCCCGTCCGGCTCCCGGCCGGTACACTGTTCTGCTCTCGAGCTGTCTCACTGGTCTGTATGATTCATATAAGCCGTTTCTCAGCTGTTCCTTTGTTTGAAGAGCAAGTATAGATAAAAATATAAAAATATGGGTAGAGCTACGCTATTGGTAGATAAAATGCGAAAAATAACCCTTAAAAAATTGTCTTACTGTTCGCACTGTATTTCAAAAGTAGCTAAGGACGTCGAGATGAATGACGTTACATGCGAGCTGAGATTTTAATGTAACTAGGGGTCAACAGCATGACATGCTCCGGGCCATCACAGAACCCTACGGGTTATGCCAAGACAATAATCTGACTTCACTCAGCTACGTTCCAGCGTGAAGCAGACCCTCTCATTCAGAACTACCCTACCATAACGCAGTTATGGACAGCATGCTGTTCAGCCACCGTGTCCTAACAACGGGCGGTTGGAGACGGTGACCGCAATTCACACGGTAACGTATGCGTATTTATTTCTCCGTGGCGACAATAATGGCATTGACAGCCCACGTGGTGGCTTTATGAAGCAGGGCTGCATCTGGTTTACAGACGTGCCTGATTCTTTCCAGCGAACCAACCAGCACAGCGTGGGCCGCTGTTACGAACGGCTCGCGGTCGCGCTGCCTCTCCCACGCGCCACTCACTGTACAACCTCGCGCGCCTCCACCTCGACGGGTGATGATGTCGTGCAGATCCAGGTGGATAATGCTGGCGTGTAAGACGCCGCCGAGCAGCTCCAGCCGGTAGCCGCAGGGGGCCTTGTACTGAGAACGGAGAACAGAACGGAGAACGGAACCTGAGAAGGGAGCCGGCGCCACCGCAGTCCGACAGACAGCGCGAGGCACCGCGGTCCGCAGCCGCGTAGTGGCCGCGGTTGTGAAGGCAAGGCTGACTGGACCATGACTGGTCTTCACGACTTGGACCTCGATGACACAAGAGAAGCAGTGCACATGTTATAACTGCGAGCGGCAGGCATGCACCAGCAGCGCTCAGACCACAATGCTATCGTGAGATCGCCGGGCCGCTCTCCGCAGGCCACCTGCTGCCGCACAGTCACTGAGCACGTGAGGCGCGGGAGCGGGCGCACGGCGATTACACCGCCCGGCGCCCCGCCAGAACACGCGGCCGCCCCGCCCATCCGCGACGTGCTGAACCGCTTCATCATCCGCTTGCGTAGTCAACGCAGCCGTGCTGGCTAGTGGAAACTCTGAATGCGACGAAGTGTCACGCACCTTGTCGGGAAGACCGGACTTGATGTTGAAATAATGCGAGACGACTCCGACGAGCCGGTGCCGAACACGGTGTCACGCCCCCGCGCGGTCCATTACCAGGGCTATCTTCTGTAAGCCAAACGCGCCCTTCGATCATATTCGACGAGGGCGAAGCGCACGCAACTGCCAGAGAACTGGGATATCAGCAACTGAGAGTAGTATCACAGCAACCGTGAGAAGCGATTCACAATGGAGCGCAGTGAACTCATCCGACGATTGACACTCAAAAGACGCTGCAAACGCCCTATCCTTACCACCTACGATCGCGCTGATCAAACCTATTCAAACCCAGACGTCGGTCGGCACTACAGCACAGCAGTCCCACCGTGTGTAACTGCTTTCCTCCGCTTGTTAGCATGTTAACGGCCAAGTGCGTGCAGGCATAGGCACGACGTAAACACATCAGTTTCCCAGCGACACCACGCCCAGGAACGCGGTCAACCCGTCCGGCTGACCCCTCTTTAACAGCAAAACAGCACCGGCGCGGTGCGCAGCGAGACACGGCGCGGGGCGCAGCACCCACCGCCACATCCGTGATGTTCTTGGCGTCGATGACGTCTTTCAGGCTGATTTGGCCGGCTCGTCTGACTGCCGGCACGCGAGGCATCGGCGGGGGTCAACGGACGACGGCCCGTCACTCATGAGAACGCTATACGCCATCTTGTTGGAGGGGCGCGCCCAAGAGCATAATTGGCGGAGGCAAACGCACAGGCCTTACGGTACTGCCTCGTGTTTCATCAAACGTAGCAAGTGTGTAGCATGCGTGATGTACAGTTCTGCGAGTTCGGGAGACCGCCCTCCTCCCTGGCGAAATCCATATTGTTAGCAATGGTAATTATTCGACGTTAGCGTATCACGGACCACAACACAGAACAGAACAGCTTAGAGCACCCGGAGATCGCAGCCCCGCTACAGCTGATCTGTCCAGCACGAAGATCACGACACGCCAAGCTGTCAGGTCAGATGCATTCACGATGTACGTGCTGTGCAGAAGGCCTCAGCCGCACCAGACCCGCAGTTTACGCTGCACAGGAGTGGCACTGACCCCTAAGCTCATGACGACCAGCTCCAGATCCTTGGTGACACAGATGTGGTGGTGGATGAGGTCGGTGTGAAACAGTTCTCAACGTGACCAAACGTCACGTTGGTCAGGGTACGTTCGAACGTGGCGCCGCCGTCTATGGAGACGAGGACCTGTCCAACGGTGAGCATGCGTCGTCAGGTACACGCTGGCATGCTTCGACCGAACGCCATGGCACCTTCAACGAAACATCCACGGCTTCAGTTCTCAAAGAACGTTACACAATATGCTCGATCGCACTACAGATCGCACAATACCACCGCACGTACATGTTTCTGAGCGGCTTGACCGCCCAAAGGGAGCTGGGGAGGGGGGGGGGGGGGCAGCGCCCCAGGATGCTTGTCCCACACGTGGGTGGGCGAGGGGAGGGGCTGTAGCAACAGAGCTCGGCAGGCAGCTGCTCCCACCTGACCGGCCAGCAGGTACACCTTCTTGGTGAGCGGGCAGAGGTAGACGAACGGCCGGGTCACGTGCTCGCTGGACGGCGGCCGCTTTCGGTAGCCGGTCTTCTCCAGGGGCAGCACCAGCGTCTTGTACTGGTCTCCCTGGCAGGAGAGGTCGCCATCACAGACAGGCACATGGTCTATATGGCAGCAGCAGTGTCTCGAGCTGGTCTTCCCGGCAGGAGTGCCCGGGTCTCGTCACAGTCGCGCGAGTCGTCCGACTCGGAGCAGCGTCATGCTGCGTCGCGCCTCGTGGCCTGATGGCTCGTCAGCTGCCCGGGGCGCTGCACGTCCACCAGTCTCCGTCAGCGAGGGTGTGGTGCACCACCTGGCACCAGGCCATCAGTCGGCTAGCAGACCTCCGGCCGAGCCTCGCAACAGTCCCGCCACGTCCCGGTGTTACCCTCTCCGTCGCCCCGAAACTATACGATCGTCCGCGGACCCCTACCACCAAAGGTTCAGTCATCGTCGTCGTCGGCGGCGGCGGCGGCGGCGACGGCTCACCTGCGCGAAGCCGAGCAACACGGCGTTCCGGTGCCAGACGTAGCGGACGTCGCTGACGGAGGCCAGCCCGGCCGGCCACGGCACCAGCGAGCGCACGTCCTGCCACGCGTCGGTGCGCGCGAACGGCGCCCGCCCCAGCAGGTAGCGCTGCTCCGAGTGCAGCAGCAGCAGCACCGAATCCGCTGCGTCCAGGCGGCCAGGCAAGCGGTCAGCACGACCGCCGAGCGGAGATGTGCATTGTCCTTCTGGCCGAGCCAAAATCATCGGGCCCAATGGCAGCACACAGCACTCAGAGATCGCTACCGCAAGGCTTATGCAATGCACTGGTGCGACCGGCAGTCGTAAAGGCTTCCCTCATTCTCTCATGCTTCCCGGTACGGGAAGTCCACGAGACTAGTGCGTGGCTTGCTCAGGCAGCCCGCCACTGACGCTTCTGACCGACAGCTTCGGTCCTCCGCCCACGTCACTTGGGACATCAGCCAAATGCTCCTATCAGAACACTACGCGGGTTTATCCATAGAGGGAGAGCAGCGCCCCGCATCAGGGACCTCGGTATCCTCGCTTACTAACGGCGGCACCGCATATTGCCGTCAGCAGGCAATAACCCGTCATGGCTCGCGAGCCACCCCCACCACCCGGTGCTCTGCTCAGCGAGAGAGAGTGGCAGGCCGCGCCACCATGAACGCACAGCTGTGACCACAAGAGCACGAGAACACCAACCGTTGGCGTCGTCGTTGACGCAGGACGGGGAGTGGATCAGCTCGTCTTTCGCCCGGTCAGCTGCGGAACTGTTGTTCTGGAAACGCAGGACGCGGCCAGGTCAGAGCTCCCCAGATCAACTGGTGAAGCAGTGACGTCACAGAATGCAGCGCAAACCACAGGTCAGAGCCCAGATCAACTGGTGGCGCAGTGACGTCACAGAATGCAGTGCAAACCACAGGTCAGAGCTACCCAGATCAACTGGTGACGCATTGACGTCACAGAATGCAGCGAACACACAGGTCAGAGCTACCCAGATCAACTGGTGACGCGCAGTGACGTCACAGAATGCGGCACAAACAACAGGTCAGAGCTACCCAGATCACCCGGTGACGTAAGGACGTCACAGAATGCAGCGCAAGTCACCTGACGGCACCAGCGCATCGGTCACAGGCTAGTGAGCTGTGGACCGCAGGAAACGTCGACGACCAACAGACCAGTCAAGCAGAGCCGGCCCGGGCATACCAGCCGAGAAGTTTGACGGCTGCCCGTGACCCAGCCCCCAGCCCGGCCTCCAGGCGCACATCAGCAAGGGGCGCTACCCACCCCAACGTCCTCCCCGACCTGGCACGCAAAATGACGTGCGGGTAGACGCCACTGTAAGGACATCGGTGACGAGCGGTAAGCGGGAAGGCTCTTGCAGAAAGGCTTTCGGAAAGAAATGCACTTTCTGGAACTGGGCCTGGGTCGAGTGGCGGCGTCTGACAGACGGCATCCGGGGTCCGGAGACATGGTCACGTGGCGTCAGCAACAGGAGCTCGCACGGACCCGCGGGAGGGTCCTACCCCGGAGACATGGTCACGTGGCGTCAGCAACGGAGCTCGCGCGGACCCGCGGGAGGGTCCTACCCCGGAGACATGGTCACGTGGCGTCAGCAACAGCAGCTCGCGACGGACCCCGCGGGAGGGTCCTCTACCCGTCGCAGCTGGAGCCGGGGTAAAGGTGAAGTTGCCGCCCGGGGTCGCTGAAGGACGACGTGACGATCACGCCGTCAGAGGTGAGCATCAGCAGGTGCGCCGAGGTCAGCGCCGCACTGGTCAGGCTCAGGTCATGGGGCATGCCTGCCGACGGGACGGGGCGGAGCGGAGCAGGGTCAGGCTCAGGTCACGGGGCACGCCTGCCGACGGGACGGGGCGGAGCGGAGCAGGGTCAGGCTCAGGTCACGGGACTGCGACCGGGCTCAGGTCACCAGGGCACGTTGGCTGACGGGACGGTACGAAGCGGGGCAAGGTCAGGCTCAGGTCACGGGACTGGACCGGGCTCAGGTCAAGGGGCATGTTGGCTGGCAGCCGGGGGGGGGGGGGGGCACGGGCAGATTGTCATTACATGGTGTCAAGCTGAAGTCACGGCACAGGTCGGACCCTGGTCGTATGACGACATCAAGATCAGATCTCAGCCACGGAATTTACTCGCTAGGGTCGCAGATAGGATAGGTAGCCGAGATGGTCATGTCGGTGCGCAATAGGGTGAAGCTAATCGGTGCACGCCCCGGGTTATTCCGCGACTCGGCCACTGCGCGGTGACCTAATTCGGCAGATGGTTCTCCGTAACAATGAACCTGATTTCGTACGAGATCGAAGTGGCCCTCCTTGTGCCTCGCGGGCTCAGTCAGACTTTCGAAACTGGCCGCAGGCTGAGCAGGTACAGCTGACGTGGGAACGTTGGTACAGCGCCAAAAATCGACAGTTTCCCTTGTTTTGCATTATGCAAAGGACGGCTCCCAGCTCCAGCCTTAGATATGGTGGTTGCCACAAAAACAGCCATATCCACCGCTCACAGCCGTCGGGGGCCCTATCAGTCCGCCTGGTCAGTGTCAGCGGCCGCAGGGGACGCGACCGCGGACCGACGCCAGAAGGCGCGACCACCGCCAGGCGTGGTCCACCCGACCATTGACCAGCCGCGGTCTGCTGACCACTCAGTTACACGCGTCCACCCCGACCATGGCGGGGCACGGTCCGCTCTCCCCGCCGCCACCCGAAGGCCAACCCGACCGCCGCCAGACACGGGTCACCGCGGCCGCCGCCAGACACGGGTCACCGCTACACCGCCGCCAGACAGTCCACCGCGATCGCCCGCCAGACGGTCCACCCGCGACCAACGCCAGACACGGGTCCACCGCTACCGCCGTCAGACAGTCCACCGCGACCAACGCTGGACACGGGTCACCGCTACCGCCGCCAGATAGTCCACCGCGGCCGCCGCCAGACAGTCCACCGCGACCAACGCTAGACACAGGTCACCGCGGCCCGCCGCCAGACACCGGTTCACCCCGACCAGCCGTCAGATACGGGTCACTGCGACGGCCACCAGACCCGAACAGCTTCCGGACTTACCTTCCGAGTCGTTGAAGGTGGAGCGCAAGCTGGTCCATCGCGGTCCAAGTCATACCACGTGACCCGATTGCCGATCAGCGTGGCCACGAAGAGGCCCGGCTTGCTGGGCGACCGTGACGGCGTACAGCAGGCCGAGGTCGCCGCCGCAAGAGTCCTGCGGTACCTGCAGCCGGCCGACGTGTGGGCACCACCGTCGCGGGCGCCACCGGCGGCCCAGCGACCACAACCGCCACGTCGCTGTCACCGGGACAGCCGTCACATGAGGCGCCTCACGCCGTCCACAGGCGGCGCCCCCACGCCACCACAGGAGGCGCCTGACGCCGTCACAGGCGGCGCCCCACGCCGTCACAGGCGGCGCCCCACGCCGTCACAGGAGGCGCCTTATGCCGTCATAGGAGGCCCCTCACGCCACCACAGGAGGCGCCTGACGCCATCACAGACGGCGCCTCACGCCGTCACAAGCGGCGTCTCACACCGTCACAGGCGGCGCCTTATGCCGCCACAGGAGGCGCCTGACGCCGTCACAGGCGGTACCTCACGCCGCCACAGGAGGCGCCTGACGCCGTCACAGGCGGCACCTCACGCCACCATGGGAGGCGCCTGACGCCGTCACAGGCGGCACCTCACGCCGCCATAGGAGGCGCCTGACGCCGTCACAGGCGGTACCTCACGCCGCCGCAGGAGGCGCCTGACGCCGTCACAGGCGGCGCCTCACAGAGCGTGGTGGCGCGATGTGACGCGGACAAGTCGAGCAGTGGCGCGGACAACAGACGCCAGCTGACGGCAGAGCTCTGTGAGCTGCATCAGCGACACCCTCCGCGCCAGGCGATGCTCTCCGCCAAGAACGCAATGCAACCGAGCAAACAGTAAACGAGCCGCGTGAAGCACGCGAACGTGACCACCACTGAGACGGCCCAGTGGCGGTCGGGGCGCGCAGAGTGCTCTCTCACCGAAGCGGATGTCGGTGATGGAGGCGCTGGTGGAGAGAAAGCCGGAGCCGCGGGAGAGGACGAGCTCCGCGCTCCACTGGGCCATGCCGTCACTCGCCGTGCGCCCAGTCAGCTGTCTGCGACACCGGACGCCTGGCATCAGAGCTGCGGCGGCCATTGTCGAGGGGCTAGCGTGTGTCGAAGTGCCATCCAAGCCCAGCCCCGTGCCGCTCCTGGGGGTGCGAGGCTGGGCAGGTTAGCTTCACTCCTATCCGACGTTTTGAGCATCTTAAACTTACGCCGACCTGACATGACCTGACACCCGTCCTCCCGGCTCGCGCAGGCTATCCGTAAATCACAGATCTCTGAAGCACAGAGCGATCCTCCGCGCCAGCTCCATCCCCGTGAGCTCCTCTCCCGGCTCACCTCACGAGCCCAGCTCTCCCTTCAGAGGAACTCCCCGTCCCGGCCCACGTGTGTGCCTCCCCCCCCCCCCCCTCCCCCGCCCACGCTCGCACCTCCCAGCAGGACCCCTCGGCCATCACCGGTGTCGCGGCTCTCTCCGTGCTGGCGCGACTGGCCGCACCTCCTCCGGAAGTGGCAGCGCCAGGCCACGAACGAGCCGCGCCGGTACAGCCCCATGGAGAACGGCATTTGGACGACGCGGTGCATGCTGCGCAGCGTCATGTGCGGCATCGCGCCCAGCAGCCAGAAGTGCTCCACCAGCTGAGAGTTGACCGAGTCGTCCAGGCCGCGGACGGGAGTCACCTGGGCCAGCAGCGTCTGCCCGGGTCGGCGCCGCGGTCAGCCGGGCGACAGCGGAGCGTGCGGCGACACGGGGGCGCGAGGCCAGAGCGTCTGAGGTTCAGCATAGTGATGTGCTCTTCACAATGACCATGGTGGAAGCTAGAGATGAAGATGGTCAGTAATGCTTCATTCTAGTCATATGATTCTCAGTCAGGCGGTGAAGGCAATTCAGTGAAGGTGTTCGAAGGAGCAGAGAGATTGGGTATGCAAACCAATGTCATGGCAGAGCAGCAATGACAACCATAGTGTTAATTAGGTATAATGATCAGGTGGTTAGGAAAGGCACCTGGTCAACACCATATTTTTGGGAAACTGGGTAGCCTTTTGGACAAATCACAACAAATAACACACACTGTCAAATTCAGCCTCATTGGGCGGTCCAGTTTCACTGGGCAAGTGATGAAGTGCCCTGGCCCATGGCACTTGAATACATATCTCAACCATGTTTATGTTAAGTCAAAATAATATATTTTGCTGTTATTAGCTACAGAAACAATCCTTGTATGCAACTGTAGCATGCACGGTTCCCGAACATTGTATGTGCTTACAACATTCTCATCCATGATGACATATTTGTTTGTTCTTGGCAGAGGTGACATGTCCATGTCCTTCAAGGAGAAGATGGTGAACTCTGCCAAAGCATGTGCATAAACATTAGCTTTGTACTTTGTGACTGTGTGCTTATAATCATTTTAGTTTGAAGGGTAATGTGATACAATCTTGTTTTCTGCGCAATTTTGTGCTGCATTCTACAGGCAGGGATGGTTCTATCATGACAGCAGAATATTAATTACAAAGCATGTCATCTGCAAAAGTAGCAAAATATTGGTTATGAGGACATCTAATCTCTCCTAACATAATGTCCCAATGACCTGTAGCACACAATCAAAAGGCTGCTTGGCAAGGTTTTCATGAAGCAGAAAGAGCCTCACTGTATTTTCCATATTTGATACAGGACACATTTGAGTAAGATGACAGGATCATCCAAATCAGAAATCCTGCATGATGTGCCATGTTCTGCAGTCCAGTTGGCTTGCTGGTCCTGTAAACAAAAGAGCATTAAACCACATGATGGAGTACCCTGCACTATGATGTGTGGCAGTTTTGGGCACACCAACCATGATTATTTTGCACCCAGTCCCCAAATATAACCTGAAATATTGTCATGTGCAATGGACAAGTTAGCTCTTTGCTTGAACCTCAGGCCAAACACAAAGGTGCAAAACAGGCGGTCTTAACTTGACGTTATATTACTGCTAAATAACCGCAACCCCAGCATGCCATCCAGCCCCATCATAAATAAAATGTGATTTCAAACAGATACTTCACCAAGCAGTAATTTGACACCCCCGTATCGTCAAACACAGCCTTCAGATGAAAACTCCCAAGGCACAACGGTACTCCACGACTGTAGCTAAATGTCGGGTTTTGAGCCCGACGAAGGTAAAAAAGAAATCAACATTGAAATGCGCCGCGCCCATTTGTAGCAGCCCCTCCAGAAATGTGCCCAGCCGTTCCGTTCAGCAGAGTAAGTAAGTTCCCGTTCGCCACCTGGCTGTGAGCTTAATGCGGGTTTTGACTGGGACAGGCGTATTAAGCGACTTGGCGCTTGTTCGGACCTCCATCAACTAAATGATTTGGTAAGTCTTCTCCGTGGGAGGAACCGTCCCAGAGCGTTACAGCAATGCGGCCTTCTCATGTTGATGGTGGTTCAATGGATGAGATATGTATGATTTATGGGTGTAATAATACCAATGATTTACATCCCAGCATTTCAGAACATGTAGCTTAGCTCTTTGCACTGCAAAGGGAAACTGCATAAAAGTGTCGCTTGCATCCCGAGGTAAGTAATTTTCCTTGCTGGCGCCATAAGGCAGATGTTGGATACTCAATCAACATGCCGACGTTGGCCCGGCAGATGCTCGCACATGCCGACGTCCAGCAGACATACGCACCGGGCCGACGTCGGTCCGCTGTCAACCCACGTACCCTCACACTTCAGCCGACGTCCACCCGCTCTCCCGCCGACGCACCTCTGCCCTCCAGCCGACGTTCACCCGCTCTCCGCCGACGCACCTCTGCACTCCAGCCGACATTCACCCGCCCTCCAGCCGACGTTCACCCGCTCTCCAGCTGACACACCTCCGCCCTCCAGCCGACGTTCACCCGCTCTCCAGCCGACGTTCACCCGCTCTCCCGCCGACGCACCTCTGCCCTCCAGCCGACGTTCACCCGCTCTCCGTCGACGCACCTCTGCCCTCCAGCCGACGTTCACCCGCTCTCCGCCGACGCACCTCTGCCCTCCAGTCGACGTTCACCCGCTCTCCGTCGACGCACCTCCGCCCTCCAGCCGACGTTCACCCGCTCTCCGCCGACGCACCTCTGCCTTCCAGTCGTCGTTCACCCTGTCTCCAGTTGACACGCTTCCGCCCTCCAGCCGATGTTCACCCGCTCTCCAGCCGAAGCTCGTAAGCCTTCACCCCACGTTCGCTTGCTATCCGTCCTTGGCGATTTATTCAGCGATTTATTCAGCGACGAACTTCGACTTATCTGAAAACACGTCAGATGTTTTTTGTTACGGCACGGTGACATCGAAAATAAATACTTAAATTTTGTCATGCATAATTTTGTCATATGGTGTAGCCTTCAGGGTCGAGGGCAGGGTCAAATGACGGGTAACAGTATATCACCAAAAATTACTGGCCGATGTCAGCTTTCCAAAATTCAGAACGTTAACCATTGGAGAACCTAGCGTCCGCCAAAAAATCCTGATCTCTCGAGGTTACCCTTAGTGATAAAACTAAAGATCAAATGATGGGGAAGTCCACATCACCAAAAAAATTCTGGCCGATTTCAACATTCCAATGTCAAATGATTGCAACGCCAGGTCAACTTCCAGGCGCAGCGCAGAACAAGACGCGCGGAACCAAGATCTGCCGGATGCTGACGCCGTACATCTAGGGGTAACGCCACCTGCGTGTTATTGTCTCTCAAGCTGGCATCGGCTGACGCTCCGACCAGAGACACCTGCTGATAGCCGTGCAGAATGAGGCTTTCCTTTGCTCGTGACCATAACACGATATCTGCCGCCGACTGCACCGCGAATATTTTCATGTTCATCCGTGGAATAGGCCGTTCAGGCCAGCGGTCCCACGCACCGGGAAAGTTTGGTGCCCGTCGTCATCGCGTGTACTCTGCGGATCGGTGCTCCGCGACCAGTCGCAGCGCTGAGTTGTGATGCGAGACCAATAGGATGCCCCCCCCCCCCCTGTTTGGAGGTATGCTTGATTGAAGCAGCTGTGTTCTGTTGCGCAGCGCGGTCCAGGTACGAGCACCTTGAATCACAATGTATGCAAAATCCCGAACAGAGCCTGAGATCGCGTGCGTTATGTGACGTCGGCAGACGGTGGCGAGCGCACTCCTCGGCACCGCTTTGCTCTGCACCAGTTTCTGCCTCCGGTCGTGCCGTCCCGTGTGTTTATGTGTGTGTGCGTGCCTGTTTGTGTGCCAGCCGGCAGCTCTGTGTAGCCCAGCCTGTGTTGTGCCCTGGTGGTGACTGGTCCTTGTGTCGTCCTGGGCGCCCGAGTTGCGACGGTCCCGCTTCGGTCACGTGACGGAATGGACGGCCAGTGGAGGGTTTGGATTTTCCAAAATTATGGCTCTATGGCACGGTGCGGACAGTGTGGATAGCCTGGAGAGGCGAAGTCCCGGAAGGCCGGGTAAAATGAAGATAAAATGGGGCAAATATGCTTAGGCCTTTTAGGTCATCAACAGTTTTTCAGCATCGACTATGGGAGGCAATCACCAAAACATTCACATTCCCATCTCGTTACGACAAGTTCGTCGAATATCTGAAGATTAGTCATGATCACAACAAGCGTTTAAACAAATAAGCGTCACCGGAAAACGTTAAACTCAGCCAACCAGCCTTTAACACCACTGCAAAACGTTAAGTGGGAGATCATCTATCCGGTTCTATGACAAAAAGTCGGAAATTCCATTTGGCGAATGTTTTTTGTCGAATGTTGAATAGCGAATACGGAATGGCGACGTAAAAAGTCGACACTGAGAAAAGTCGAAATGGCTAAATGGTAAACTGTAAAGTGGCGACATTGAAAAAGTTGACGTGCCAGGTTGGCGAACGGCTAAATGGCGAGCTGCAAGATAGCGGCTCAGAGAAACACTGATTTGTTATATTGGCGAACGGCAGAATGGCGGAATACAAAAGAGCCATGTTTGAATTTGGCCCTGGTGAATGGTGATTTAAAAAATGTGGACATATCAAAATGCTGGGTGGGTGGCTGGGTATTGTGTGCCGTGAATTTATTATTTTATTCGAAAGTCTGCCTATTAGGAGAGCACTGCTCTGTTGGTGATGCAAGACAATTAAATATAAAGAAATGAATAAGCATCAAGACAAGTAGGCCCTCCAATCAAGGAGGCGCTTACGGGTGGTGGCCGTCAGCTTTACTCTTAGCTAATGGCTCCTACGGCAGAAAGAAAGTAACGGGACCGTTTTTCGGCAGCGAGTTGTACTGGGCAAGACCGTCAAAAACGGTCAAATATGGACAGGGACATATTTTCGTAACATATGTTGTGGGGGACCGCGGCAGATTATGAAACCTACCACCAAAATTTGACAACCTTGTTCTCCCCGGATCTAGTTTATTTTTCTCCCAAGGCTGGGACGGGGTTTGCGCCCCACACCTTAAAAGGAAATTAAACGCCTGCAAATAAATTATCGTTCCATGTCACCATCTGCAGCCTTCGCGCCTTTTATGTAACCTAGGTGGTATATTTTTCCAAATGCTTGTCGTTTTTTCCATGACGCCATTTGGCTTTTGTCATTTTGGCCTACCGCCATTTTCCCGTCCCATCATGTATTCAAATGAGGTATTTAAAAGGACTGCTCCACATTTGAAGCGGGTTTTCAACTGAGATAGCCCTTTCATGTCTACGATCGTGACGTGCAACTGCCTACTCATGCCCTTCTTAAGACTTGAAATCCCCTCGTTTCTGAGCTACGAGTACGCGAACTTGTGCAAACTATTTGCCGCCACCCATTTCGAGATCATCTTCATATGATGTCATAGAAACTCCACACAAATTCCGCCTTCTCCATGGCCACATAGTGTTCAAGGTCAAGAAAAGTGTCCCCATCGACTTTTTCGTGTCTGAAGTACGTCAGCGTGGGCCGTTGCATCAAAGAACAGCGGCTAGCTTTCAACCAGCTGGAAGCGTTTAATGCAAGTTTTGAACACAAGTCATGTTTTGTAACACAACATCTAGGCATTTGGCACCTGCTATAAAAGATCGGACAGGAATCGCCCTTTCCATGCAGCCTTGAAGAGCCTCGTGTTTTCGTTGTTTCTACTTGAGCTTGCCGTTTTTCATGTCATTTGATTTTCGCCGTTTTAGTAAGCCGTCATTTTGTCTTGTCACCATTTGATCAAACATGGCTCGTAAGTAGTTCAACGATATTCAAGCGATCGCCAATTTCGCACATTTTGTCACCCTTTTGCAAGTCGTCGTTTAGCCGTTCGTCATTTCAGCATGTCGACTTGTTGGTATGTCACCATTTTGCAGTTCGTCGATTAGATGTTCGTCATTTCGGCATGTCGACTTATTGCTATGTCGCCATTTTGCAATTCGTCATTTAGCAGTTCGCCATTCTGGCATGTCACCACTATTCCATGTCGCCATTTTGCAGCTGGGCATTTTGTCGATTCGACTTTTTGGTATATCGACATTTAAACTGTCGTCTGTATGGAAGTCGTCATATATCAGTCGACAAGAAAGCATCCGGCAAACTAAGAGTCAACTTTTTGTCCGGACACCATGACACGAATACTTCACTTTCGTGTCCACATGGTTGGGTACTTCTCTATTTCTTCCGCTTCAGATCAAAGCCGGCCTTCCCTTGAATTCTGCTTGTGGATTTGAGAACTCTTTGAACTATTGATAGTGGTTTTCCTTTTATCTGATGTTATGGTACATGCTCTGTTTACTCGCAAAGTATTTTCATTTTTAAACGATCTTAACGATAGAAGCTGGTTCTCACAAGAAAGCTGATCAGTCCTTAAATATATTGTAGGCACAGCAATTTCTTTCATGGCTTGCCGATCAAAATAAAAATGCGATTAGTAGGAAAACAAAACAAAAAATGCAAGAAAAAAATGAACTGGTTAATTACATCATTTCTCGTTATGAGCTACAGTGGTTTGTATCGTTTCCAAAGCCGGGCGTGAAGATTTGTTCCACGAGCGTTTTTTCCTAAAATGACTGATGCAGTGATTGAGACCAGATATGCAAGGTGCACAATGGTTTGCATTTGTTACATGTTGAATGGTCACACCGA